GGAATGCCCAAGAATTTAGTTCTGAACATCTGAATTTCTTTTTTTATAACACAGATCTAAAATATTGATCCAGTTGGTTTTACTCAGATTTTTATGACTTGAGATTTTATCTGTGTAGCCATCTTTGCTGCAAACAAGAACACACTATGCCTGCTGAGAACAGCTGTGCAACAGTATAGTATATTTAAACATTTGTGAAGAGGAGGAAGTGAAATCCGGTACTAAGTGAATTTCCAGGCTTTTTTGCTTTGAGCAGAAAAATCTCACTTTAGCTTTTCTCAGCCGTCTGTGCTTCTATTCTCAAAGGAATACGTGGGAAAAAGGTGTTCTAGCAGGGATACAAGTAGTTTGTGCTGTCTAAATTGATGATGTATGACACACAGATTGAAGCATTGTAAACATGACTGCCTACCTTTTGACAGTCTTTAATTCTGTCCACCTATGCTTCTAGACTAAATAAAGCTATTAAAAACATGTGCTGTGGCAAGCCATTTTAGTCGTTCATTCCTTCACAAGGTAAGTCAGGGCTGAATTCCTCCTTTGAAAATCAAGTGAAGTTGAGGAAGCTTTGCACCTGAGGGACTGGTGCTTACTCATACGATATTTGTCTCAAAATCAGAATTGGCTTCAGACTGTGGCTGCAGGGCTAGGCACTAAGTAGGTATGTCACTGCTATATAGATCATTCTTAGCAGCAGTTTGAATGATTTCTCCAATAGTTTGCTTCTTCCTCTATTTTGTTAGCTACAAACTGGTTTAAAGGAAATAGAAAGCAGTCATTGAGAGTTGGGTATGTGTATCTCACCAAATAATGATGGAAATGTTGCTTCCAGAAAGTTACTGCATTACATGAATGGCCCATGTGAAGGCACTCCACTTGAGTATTGTATAGTTGGCTGGAAAATAACGGTATAAAAATGGTTTTATACATGAGCTAGTAATAACGGTAGTAAACCTAAATCTTATATGTAACCCTCCTGCGCTCTTATTTAATTTTCACTGTGTACTTATTTTATTCTTCAAACTAGAGTTGTTAACAAATCCATTAATCCCTTCTTTGATATTTTTACAACTGGGAGCTTATTTGAGGACCGACACTTGCTAATCTTAGCTGTTTGTTCACTATGAAATGAACTTAAATTAGAGAATGCACTTTATATGCATGATAAATGCAAGATGGATAGAGAGTGTATGCAATGGTGTCAGCTACAAAAGCAAACATGATAAATGTTAAGGCAGTTTTGAGCCGTGGGATAAGCTATTCAGTGCACAAGCATAGCTGAATCTCTTTGCTATGTTGTTATTCATGGCAGCCAAATAAATGTCAATAATAAAAGAGAATTAAAGATTTTCATTTCCCAGAGGCAGTCCTCTAATACAGCTTGATCTTTCATTTCATTTGTAATTCGTTCTCATGTCAGGATGCAATCATTTGCCAGGCTCTGTGTGTCATGTTAAGTCATTTAATAATGATTAAGAACATAAAAATGTTTGGCCTGTGGGGCAATTCTCGAAAGAGATACCAATTTGTTATTGTTTTCCCCCTTTTTCCTTCCTTTGGTGTGGATCATCTTTTTCCCACCTCCTCACATTAAAATGATAACGAAAGAATGAAAATGTGTCCCTTAATTTAGCATATGATGATACCGAAGAATGGCATCGAGTACTGTTAACACACTTATTTCAACACTAATTAGGTCTAGTTGTGTTTTGAAACCTGCAGTGGAAAGTGTAAAAAGTTTCTAAATGATCTCTGGAAGAATTGCTGCATTTAAGAGTAGTTACCAGTATAAAATTCATTTCCTTTTTCTAATGCACAGAAGAAGAATAGCTTTTTTGAAGAAGCAGGCTGTGTGTGGTTGTTTATCCTGCCTTTCTGAGGAAACAATATATTCTCAATAACTTTGTGCCTAGATTACCATAATATTTCCAAAGTCAGCTATGGATTTGGACATGCTTGTCGGTACCTTCTGCTTTATATTTTGTCTATAATAAGAACATGTTTGTTAGTTGAAATATGTTTCTGTCAGTAGTGACTCAACCAGAGGGGCTCAGTATCCAGGCAAAGGGCTCTACTCTTCCTTTCTTTCCTTCTACTGCTGCCTTTAAGCATCCTTCATCAGCTGTTGGGAGTGTCACATATTCTAGTGGTCTCTGTTTATGTCTTCTGAAAGAGCGCAGGACAGAGCTGGAGCTTACAGGTGTGAGAGTAAAAGACTCCGAGGTGAAATGGGCCTTTGTACTTTTTCCACCTTTTTTTCCCCTCTTCCCCTTCTCCATTTTCCCCACAGAAAGGTCTCTGCTTTCTGGCAGCAACGCGAAGTGTCCAGCGTTACTGTGAGCCATGGGAGTAGAAGTGAATGGCTTGCACTGGGCTGCGCTCTGTGAAGAGGCACAGCTGGATGGCCACCCCCTCTTCTTTCCCTTCCCCATGCCCACGCACGGCAAGATGAGAAAGGCAACGCTGAGGCTGTAAGAGCATCCTTAACACAGCTCCGTTTCCTCTGTCAGACAAAGCCTCTGCGTACTGTCAAGGACAGGACAGCCATGGGGCTAAGTTGAGAGGGGCTGGGTTATGAGAGGAAGAGTGCACCTCTTCGATGAGTTATGTGTAGGTTGAATGGAGGATCAGGTAATGGAAATAATGAGGGGAGACACTTTGATACAGCTCTGGCAGGAAGGAGAGGAAATAAGATGGATAAAACGGGTTGCGGGTTGCCAGCTCATTCATGAAAGGGCGCAGAATTATATGTGCTAGAAATCAGATGTGGAATTTCTTGGGTTTTTTGGTGGGATGAAGAAGGCCAAATACAGCTCATCATTACATGTGGAGAGGACTGTGGTGACAGTTGTTGATTCTTGGACGCTCGAGAGAATGGAAGTATCAACAGGTATTTGAGGAGTAGAGCGGAAGGCGGAAAGGCACAGTTTGTTACCAAAAGGAAAGAAAGATTAACCAAAAAGTTCTTGGAATATAGCTCGGATAGGCGAGGGAGAGAGCTTAGACGGAGAGACCTAAAACATCTACTTCCTCCAACAATCTGGCCCAGCCGTGCTGCAAAGATGTTTACTCAGCTTATGAATTGCTGCAGTTTACACAACATTGTTTTAATGCCTGCCAAAACCACTGATGGCTCACCTCAAACAGACCACGAGCTGTAGACTCTCAGGCATGGATTGACAAGCAACTTACAGGTCCATGCAACTGGAGCAGATCACAAAAACAGTGGAAGCAATAACTGCATCAGCCATCCGAATCTAAGCCATTCCCATTTGTCAGTCCACTTTGGCTATCTTAATTATTTGTGTTTTCAGAGGAAAAATTTCTAGCTCTTTATCATGGAGCACATTGGGTCTTTCTACTGTCCATTTGCATCTCCTCTGTCACAGTACTCCAGCCCCAAGGCCCCTTTTCTCTCCCCTTCCTTCCTGTTCTCTGTCAGTAGGAATAACTGCAAGGAAGAGGCAAGCTCAAATTCAAGCTGAGTGTGATCAGTGTGTTTTATAGGGAAGGAAAGGAGTGTTTGGGATTGGCAACAGGAGCTGTGGCAGATGAAATGTTGACTAAATTAACTGTCATGCTCCACAGAGCATGTGCACGTGATCGTTGTCTGAAGTTTTCCTCTTCACATCATAGAATCATAGAATGGTTTGGGTTGGAGGGGCCCTTTAAAGGTCATCTAGTCCAACCCCCGCCAATGAGCAGGGACATCTTCAACTAGATCTCAGAGCCCCGTCCAGCCTGGCCTTGAATGTTTCCAGGGATGGGGCACCTACAACCTCTCTGGGCAACCTGAGGTGCATTTTTCTATGATGTCAAATTTTATCTTTTTACTGAAGAACTTGGAGGCATTGGATCTTCTCAGTGACCCTAAGAAGTAGCACTGACAAAAATGTTGCAATTTTCTCTAGCTTTGGTCCCCAACATGACTGAATTTTGATAAAACTCTTTTGAAAACAAGCAGCCGGTGAGAGACACCCATGACAAAACCTTTCAGTACAGAGGATTATGGTTTGGGAAAGCTACTGGTAACTGAAAATAGGATCTGTGGACTTGCTTTCCAGAAAAGTTTATTTGAGGAACAGTACTGGGTAAATTCCTTGGGCGGATGCTTCTTGTCCATACTGGGAATTACTTGGCTATCAAGACTCTGGTCCCACTACCACAGCCTTGTTCCATCATATCCTTCTTCCCGGTCCTGAGATTCTGGATTTCACTTAGGGTTCCTGAGCTTATGGGACACATTCATTTCATGTTTCAACACTTTTTTCCGTAACCACAAAAATACATATGTGGGGAAAGGGGTGAGAGTTACTGAACACATGCGATCTCCTGGTTTCAGGAGCTGGAGCTTTTGAGAAATGCACCAAAAATCACAAGCTCTGGCAAGTACATATATGTCATATCCGTATGTGTGCTATAACATTTGTCAGAATCAAATGCTGTGAAAGCTATCCCTTTTACAGAGTTGCTCATAACATTTTTAAACAAATTACTTTTAGTCAGATACATTTTATGACTGGTCTTGGCCCAAAGGGAAGTCTTTGGAAAGTCTGAGCAAAATCAGTTCAGCAAAGGAAAAACATACTTTTATATTGAAATATTTGCATAATTCAAAAACAGCTGAAGCTACAAACTTTAAACTTGGCTTGTTTTATAACTTTAATAGAGGAAAGAAAAACAAACCAAACTTAGAGAAAATCACTTCAGCACTTTTCAAGTTATGAATGATGAAATCTGGCATGTTCAGGCGTGAACATAGAATTTTCCATTCTTTTTTCCCCCCAATGTTT